ATTGAATTTCACATCACAGCTACCCTAAACAGGTACACTTTGCTTCTTTCATGTTCCTGATGGATCCCACGGGAAAGGAAAGAAAGAGAAGAAAGGTTACACTAAGAAACAGGTCACAGGCTAGTTTGTCTGGGTTTGTTACCTCCCCTGCCATACCACCTCCAGGTTTTTAGCTTTTGAATTCTTCAATTTTCACACACCCTGTGTGGCCATGGAATAGCAATGGGAAAAACTTTCTGAGATAATTATTCATAATTCATCTTCCATGACTCACTGGAAAACGCGTATTTTGGTGTATATGTGACTGCTTGTGTCTGGATGCTTTTCTCCCAACCTAAACTTGCCTCCCTAGGGCTATTTTGCCACTTATTGAAGAGCCACCTAGGACTGTCTCTTCCAGAAGGTCTTCTGGATAGCCCTTGCTGCTCCCTGTGATGCCTCCTGTTTGGATGGTTCAAGACTCAGCCAATCCAGCAAAACTGGGATATGGGTTTGTAATTACTTGTCCCTCCTGAAGAAAAGCTACATTAAGCTGATACTGTGTTTGTATCTCAGCTATGCTGTGCACAAGGGGTAACCAGCTATAACAACTTGAAGGAGGAAAAAGAAAGATGGGATTCTTAACTTGTCCTAGAATTTTACGATGGTTAGGTTAACCAAGTAAGCCAGACTGGCAATAGTAAAAGGCTAAGGTTCTTTGCAAAAGGCAAATGACATCTGAACAGTGATGGCTTGGCTCTGAGTATGTTGTTATGGTGACTGCAACCATAGGCTTAATTTTATTATAGACTACTGAGTTGTGCTTTAATCCATGACTGATTATTGTACTCCAGAACAATGTACACAGAGAGTGTTCAACGGATGTGCACAGGGCTAGTGAATATTTTTTGTTACCCATCAAGGATAGTAAGCAAAATGAGTGCTGATAGCATGCAGATACAGCACTATGCCTAGAGTAGAAATGCTAAGACAGCATAATCCAGCTCCTTACACTAGTCTCTAAATAAGACTGATCTGTAATCTCACAAACACACAGTGGGTTACAGATCCTGCAGACTGAAGACCATGTCTTATTTATCAGTACATCCACACAATGGTGAGCTCAGAGCTCAGTTTTATTTTATTTTATTTTTTAATTGAATTATATCTGTGAAGACTCCTTTTGCTGTCCTAGTGTGGGAGTTAGGAAGATGCTGACTAGGAGTTCCCCATTCCTCTCCCTGAAAGCTCTGTAAATCACATTCTTTAAAAAAAGCAACCAGCTGAATTCCAAAACCCTCTCCAAGGAGAAGTGCCCAGGGCTGGTGCGTCTGGACTCTGTCCACTGGATGTGCCGATCTCTTCTGTACAAACATTGTCTACTCCCAGGAGAGCTCACAACTGATGGCTGAGCTGTGGAGACTCACATGTTCCCTCTTTCCCAATGTCAGGGCCGTCAGGGGAGAGGATGGGAGTGAAGGACAATGTGTGGCTTAACTAAAATGTGCTCCTTTCTCAGGAGGAAGACAGTCTCACGGCAGGAGGAGGATGTCACTCTTCTAGCAGAAAACCGTGAGGAAACAAGGAATGCAGCTGAAAAGTTATTTCCTGAGCGGAGCAGGACAGCAGAACCCTCTCTCGTTCTTTCCCTTCCTCCCTGCCCCCATTTCCCGCCTTAATCTCTCTTCATCCTACTTTTCTTTACTTCTTTTATAAAGGAGAAGTCTTCAAGTCCCATGGAAAACTGGCTCAAAGATACAGAGATGCCCCCAGCCTCGTGTCCTCATAGGCACTCTGCCTCTTTCATTATCAGTGTCTCTCAGCAGAGTGGTGCTCTCACGCTTGGCGGACTTCCACCGTGACAAGGGGGTCCATATTCTACAGTGGGATTCACCTGCGGTGCGCATTCCGAGGTTTGGGATCAGTATATGGATTCCAGTTAGCATCATTCAGAGGTTTCCCACCCTAGATGTCTTCTGCAGCGTTCTCCCCACGCCCTAACTCCTAGAAGCCCATTTTACGGTGTTATCCTATGCTGACATTGTCTCTTTCTTACCTTTGACAGGTACTAGTGGAATGGCCCTGCCAGAGCTAAGTTGGAAAGCCACAAAGTTAACCAGGAAGGGGAGGGGTGGTGTTGGACATGGCCTGAGGAGCCTTGGGACTCAGAGTCTCACTGCCTCTGGCTGTACTCAAGAACACCAGAAAAAGCAGACACAAATTTGCTAATAAGATTCTTTCCTGAAATATGTGAATCTTGGTTTGAAGGAATGGGAGTAGAATAATACTTATTTTTCTGGGAGAAAAAGTACAATTCATTAATCCTCTAATATTTTAACTTCTCCTGAAGATGTAACCACAGATTAAACTCCGCCAAGTTTTTATTGGCAATGTTTAGTTACCAGTTCCACAGTTCTCTGACATGGCAACCAATATGATCCTCAGGTCAAGCTCCATACCCATCTTAGGAGCCAGACAGCCACATCTCTCAGATCACATCTTGGTCTGGCCTTGTAAATTCTTTCCAGGGGAGACTTAGGACATCCTCTCCCAGCTGTGGAGTTTTCTACTTATAAGGTACAGAATTTGCCATGAGGAAAGATAAGAAAGAGCTGCTACCTTTTAAGTGCCTTTACATATGCTTTCTTTATCAGAGCTTGATGTTCCCAGACTTCAGCTGTACCCAGATGTACCCAGCCCCCTTTGGCCTTTGTGTTACATCCATGGAACTTGTGTTAGCATCTTAGAGGCTTCTGTGAGCTCTGGAGCCACCAGGCATCAGCTGAGGGTTTCTGTGCTATGCATTCAAAGAGAGACATTGGCAGTTACTCTTATCTGGGGAGAATAAATCTGTGAAGGTTTGTGTCTTTAATGTCTACATGGCCATGTCCTGGGAAGTCAAAGAGAGGCATGGTAGCTTGCTTTCTTCGCTCACATTTATCTCCAGATGTAAGCCAAAGGCAGAATTTGCCTCAGGCTTTGGCAAAGATACGTAAGTGAGCACTGTGGGAGATAATGTGGCCCAGTAAAGACAAACCCTAGAGTAAAGAAAACCCTAGTAAAGAAAAGAAAAGAAAACCCTAGAGGCCCTGGCTACTGGGACTTTTTTGACCTTGGACAGTCACTTATTCTTTAGCACGAGCAGTTATGATAAACAATGTCTTCTATGCTTATTTTTCATTGCTTACTGCTCTGCACAGTTTGGCTCACCACAGAGACCCACTGCCAGGAATTATCAGTGAGCAAACAGGGCATGGTAAAGATGAGCGAACGAAATCCGAATGAAGGGAGGAAAGAAGAAAAAAAGGAGGAATGGAATTTTGCTGATACACTGAATAGAAGGCCACTATAAAAGTAATCTGTGAATTGTGAAGTATTATCTGCATCGCTAAAAGTGGCACTTGATCATTCTGTCAGAGTGAGCATTACTTCCCTCATTAAAGCTCTCCAGTGCTTTTTTTCTTATTACTACAATAAAAGTCTAATTGCCTGGGGCAAGCTCCCTCCTGCCTCCTTTGTTTCTATCAAGTCTCCTCCTTCCATGTCTCAGGCATGGGCTTGGGTTTCTGCAGACACGCTAAGTTTGTTCCTGCCGTGAAATGTTTTGTTAGCCTCTGCCCTGCTTAGAAAGCTGTGTGATGTCTGCATGTTTGGCTTCTCACCATTAGTTGTCTCTTTCCTAACCAGTCACATGCTTAGAAAAGGCTTTCTTGTACATGCATCTAGGAACATTCATAATAGTCTATTATTTATTTATTTGTTGTTGCTTCCTTCCCAACTTCTGCTGCAAAAATGAAACAACAAAAAAAAAAACCCAAAAAACAAAAAACCTTGTATTTATTCCAAATAGAAAAATCTATGTTTTTTAATACTTATGCTTTGAGATAGTTGGCTTACTTATATAAACACATGAAAATAAGACAAATCTTTATGGTTCTAAGCAGAAAACTCTCACCCTATTCCTTCCTACCTCAAACATACATACTTCAAGGCTTATTCTTGTTCTGTGAATAAAAACAATTGTGTCAATTGGTTTCAGTTTTGAGACTTGAGAATGATACTCTTATGAGCCACAGTATTCCCTGTTCTGGGCTTGAAGGCTTCTCACTTGGGGGTTGGAAGGTGGAATAAGTGGGGTAGAAATAGGTAAAGGAAAGCAAATAGCTGGGAAATGTACTGTTCCAGAATGTGTTTATTCCCAGGACCCTCAAGGCAACAGTAATTCAAGGCCCAGGATCTGGGTCTATGGCTGGTATTGTATTCCTCTTTCCCTGTCTCAGAGAACATCTCAAAGGGCAACCACAGGTATGGGGAAAGGAGTCTGACCTTCTATCAGGACCATATTATGATACCCATGTAAAAGAATTATCTGTGTAACATTTCTGAAAACAAACAAACAAACAAACAAAACAGCCTCTCTGGACTCAGTAAGATATCTCTGATGATCATGCAGATCACTCAGATTTCTGCCTTCATCATCACATAGGGGTCAACATCTAACTCCAAGTACACTTTATCCCTTCCCTGAGAGATGGGCTCCTATTGTATCTGATCTTGGTGAACACTCCCATCTGCTTTCAACATGCTGTATTTGACGTTAAATAATGTCTCCTATTAGCATTAAAATAAAACAATCTGGAAAAACTCACCCTCAAGCAGAGTTCAAACAGGCCACAAGTAGATGTGGAATCTTAATTGCACAAGGTTTGCTAAAGTAATAGTAATACACTTATACATTATACACATATAAATGTATGTATATATATGTGAGTATATACATGTATGTCTATGTAGAGATGTGTGTGTGTGTGTGTGTGTGTGTGTGTGTGTGTGCATGTGTAGGGGGATGAAGCCAAAAGCCCGTGGAATTGTTCATGAAATCAAAGAAAAGAATGCTCTGTCTGATTTATGAAAGAGACTGCCAATAGCAGAAGGAGAAAATTCTCCTAGTGTGGAAAAAGGAATGATCAAAAGAACCAAATGATGTGGAAATGAACTGGGAATCTTTACCCAGCACTTACTGGTAATGGGTTAAAATTCTGGTCCACCAGATGGTTGTATCCGTGGTCGAAAAATGAATGTCGTATCACAACATCAATGCCCTGATTGGCCAACATTCCTAAAGTGTTTAGCCATCTAAAGGAAAAAGAAAATAAGCCACATCAGTACATTTAAAATAGCATCTAACAAGCACTGTGAAGACCAGCTACAGCACAGAAATAGTCCCCACCCCAGGACCATCAAATTTACTTGCTGCTTTAAAGGAGAAAATCATTTAGGTCCTGAACAGAAAGCTGTAAGAGAGCTCACAGATTATCAACCCTACTCTCTTTATTTTACAGGAAATAGGTCTGAAGGGATAAAATGAATTGTTCATGGTCATAAAGTTACCACAGGTTATGACTTATATTTTTCTTCTAGAATGCTGACAAATGAATACTGTAACCACTTAGAACCCAAATACGTCCTCCTTGGCCACACAATCATACAACTGCAAGACTTCACAGAACATCTGCTGCCCTCAGTCTCCTCACTGTAACAGCACACACACTTTGCACAGGGTTCTAACCTACACAGACCTATGGCCTATGCAAAAATAGCCTCGTCATTTGGTTCCCTCATGTTTCACTGTCACAGTCAACGTAATGATGTTTTTCCTTGACATCATAATAAAATATTCAGGGATTTAAGCACATTACCTTCACATATGTGTTGCATTGGGAAACCTGCATTGACCTGACTATGCAAAATGTGTAATTTTCGCAACATGCTACTCTACTCAAAGCCTGCCTTCAAGATTCTTCACAAACTCCCTGCTGTCTCTGCCTTTGTAACTGACACATTCAACTCATTCATCAATTTAGTCATTCATTGTTTTTTTCTCTCTGTATTGCCACTGCTGAAACCATCACCCCTTCTTTGCCTTTACTTTAAGCTTCATTTTCCACAGGTCTTAGTCTCACAAAACTACTTTTGGATAGCCAGCATAGCATGCTCTCTTGTACTGACCCAAGTCTTCACATGGTTTAACTCCTGTTTAGCATTTTCTACCTACCCTCCTCTAAATAATTTCTTTCCATTTGTCAAATTTCTTACCATGCATGAGTCTCCCAGGCCAGTGCTCTCTTCTAAACTCTGGCATCCTCACTAGCAGTACCACCTCTGCCTTCAGAGAGTGTTCTGTGGATGCCCTCTGCCAGCATGGTGGATGGTGACCTCCTACCTATCTCTCTACCACTCCCCATCAGTTACAGGTCCTCAGCCACACAGCATTTGAACTTATACTCAGAACACTCAGCACAGCTCCTGGTCTGTTGTAGGTACACAGCTCTGTTTAGGTTGACATTTATCTGGACAAAATTAGATTTTAGAAACTTTGAAAATCACCATTTAGCACATGGGAAAAATTATGCATAGTTATGATTTCCCAAATCTGAAACCATATGGGGCTCCAAACCCATGACTTCCAGAATTAACTTTTGTCCTTGCTGGAAAAAAAAAGAGCATTTCTAATTCTTATAATATGAATAAATAATGTTCACATTTCAAATCTTTTTTTACATTTACAATTTTATTTTATTCTCATATAAATGAACACATTTACTGGCAATTAGAGTTACAAATCCAAATCCAAAATCAAAGCAAACACACACACAAAGAACTTTTAAATCAAAAGAAAAGTCTGTGTACAATAGAGCAGAACCTTTGCTATGATAGTTTTGTTCACACTGGGACACTGTGACCCAGAGAACTGAAATTACTTTGAGAACATCACGTGGCAAAGCTACTTGTCTTGATTATTTTCAGTAGTTTGGCAAGCCTGTGAAATCAGGATAATAGGCTCAGCTCTAGCTCTAATCCTAAGGCACAGTAGCAGGGGGATTACCAAAGACGCCCCACTGTGGAACTGCAATAAGACCTCTGGGTACAAGTACCTCTTAAATCAGAGCTCTTGCCATGTTCAGAAAGTACAAAGATATCCTGGCCTATATTTAATATTTATCGAGAAAAGCAAACGTGAGGTTTCGTCTTCTAAAAGAAATAAAGTATGAGTAAATGCTCACCACATGTGCATTAGCCCATCAGCACCATCTGCACAGGCCCCTGGGGTTGTGTTACTTACTTGTTTAGTAGCTACTCTCGCACTCCATGGTGTTTATTCAACACCTATTATGTGTTACTGAATGCTCTAGATGCTGGGGACATGGCAGCCTATCCAAATGACTTTGCAGCATTCCAAAGAGTTTCAAGACTAACAGGGTAGCACTATCTTTGGGTCTCAGTAGCACAGACTTCTGATTCATGCATACATTTGCATGTGCCCTGGGAAGCCCATAGTTACGTGATATATTGGAAAAGGTCCTGAGAAAATGCCATCTTTCCACATGCTTGCTAGCTTCTTGAAGCTTCTTAGAATGTTGTACCTTCTTAGAATGTTGTTTCTAGGCAACAATTTATATACCTTCATGAACATAGCACCTTGCTAAGTTCTGCCAGTAGTGTTAAGATGGGATGGATGACAAGGAAGTAAGAGGGAAGGCCAGGAGCAGAATGAACTAGATTTAACTGATCTCTGCCAACCAAGCACTGATAATCTGAAGCACAGACCAAATATTAACAACTATGTTCATTTGCAAAGTTCATGTAGAGCCCTATGGCTATTTGGCTGATGCTTGTGCAAAGACAGGTCTCTGTTTCACCCGCCTCCATGAAGGTCTGTGATACTTTTTATTTCACATCATTCCTTAAATGGAAGAGTATTTAGGAAAACATTTAGTACAACCGGGCTGTTGCTGAACTTCAAAGCAAAGTTATTTGGTGACAGCTGAGCAAAGTCCTGGGCTGATTCCAAGGGATCCCCTGAGTACTTACTGCTAACCTGGCTTTTCACCCCTGCGACAAGATTCATATCAAACCAGGGGGGATGGGATGATTACGAAAGAAGACTCTTAACAACACTGCATTAAATGCTGATTCACTCCATGACATTAATTTGAGCCATTATTACTGAACTTCTCTGCGAAACATAATGTTAGATGTTGAGATTACAAACATGGAAAAAATAGTTGGTTAGTCTCTGGTTGTGAGGGATTTGTCCTGGCTACATGACATTGGGGAGCCAGGCACAGCTCTGTCTCCTGGCTCAAGTCATGGAAGATGCAAAAAGTAACACTATGAGTTACACTGAGCAATCATCTTCATGACCATTTGATATTATTCGGTACGGAAATGCCATCTACTTAGCTGGCCCTGATCTGTTCTTCACAAATGTGTTGAAGAAGCTGTCTCAATGGAGGGGAACTGCATCTGTCTAATTAGGAACAGCTGTTAGTAGCAAAACACATAGCTGAGGGCAAAGCTACAGTTCATGCATTGCTTAGCCAAAAAGCCTGGGCCAAAGGACCAGAATGGATTAGGAAAAAAATAGTTGGTTAGAATCTAATTGTGAGGGGTTTGTCTTGGTTATATGACACTCGGGAGCTAGGCAGAGCTCTATGCTCCTGGCTCAAGACATTCTCCAGGAAACTACAGTAGTCTTCAAATGCATTTTCTCATCCCTTCCAAGATCCTGTGCATAATACTGATAAGGTCTAAGTTTTAAAACACTCATCAGATTATTTCTTCTTATAACTTTTTAGTGGTTTGGAATGAGCCAAGAACAAGCCATCATTTCCTTCATATGGTTTTCACGACCTTCCATGGTCTGGAGTAAACTATCTTCATAATGTCAGCCTTCATTATATCTCTGCTAAAACAAAGCTTTACTCGAAATTAGTCATTGTTCCTCTGCTATGCCTTTTCTGTAATGTTTCTTCAGCCTGAGTTATCTCACTGTCGGTTCTTCCACTCTTTGCCTTTCAAGGCCAGAACACTCTTTCCATATCCCACAAATGCCGCCTCCTCCATGAAACCCTGCCTGATAATTCCACTATGGGTAATTATTTATTCCTCTGCCATCCATCACTTTTCTTTTATAGAAAGGCTGTGGAAAAAGAGATAACGGTCTACCGTAGTGGGGAAAAGGCTGTACACTGGAGAAGGCCATCTGGGCTTGAGTCTGATCTCTGCCACTAGCTAAATGAGCTACCGTGGCTAACTTCAACTTTGCCTTTCAACGTTGATACCTGTAACAGGAGGACTAGCCTCTGTTTCACTGGCTCACCACTAAAACAATAGCATCAATCAAGTATTATAGCATTTCAGACAGTGCTTGGCACTTGACAGATCCAGTATACATCAAATAAGTGACCAATTACTGTTTGTAAAGTAAGTCTAAATATATTCACAAATGAATGGATGAAAAAAGTTTTCACTGGAAATGACCTTTGCCTTGCAATGGCCAGTGAGTGTGTTATAGTTTCACTGTCCTTTCCTGAAAGTTCCAGGGAGGAAAAATGTAAATTACTTACAGAAATCCTGCAGCATAGGAATCTGATAGATTGTTTGTGCCTCCAGCTGAGGTGGTCACTACGCCTTCAAGCCAAATCTTCTTTCCTGGAGTGTATGTATTGACCACCTGTTCACACAACAAAAGCACAAGAGGATAGATGAGATTTGCAAAGTTATTCCCAAATGAGAATCACTGTCACTCCCTAAAGGAAGTGTCTCTCATTCCCTGCTCCCAAGTGGTCATAGTTTGTACTTTTTACTACATGAAGATGTGTACCTGTTACCTTCCTTTTACAGGAAGAGCATGCAAAGAGAAAAAGAGTAGTCTACCGCAGTGGCTAAGGGGCTGGACTCTGGAGCAGACTGACTGAAAGGCACGGTAAGTTACCACATACATACAGCAGCATTAATGTGCTCATGTGTTCATTTTTTTCCTTAAGTAAACCCAAGCTATGGTGATAGAACAAATGCATACTCCAGAGTTTAAGATGACTTTAGGGATGCAACATCCTTCACTGGAAAAGAATAAACAATCATGGTTCTATATTAACAGGTACTGAGGAGTAATGTTTTTCAGGACCATGTTACAGCAGTTCTATGATAAAGCACACTGTCTGTGAATCAGAAGTCATGAATCATGAGTAGGAAAGAAAATGTTTTAAGGAAGTTTTGTATAATGAGCATAGCATGTATTTTATAATCATATTTTGATGATAACTGAAGTATCTGAGCCATGGGTCAGCTCCTACACAGGGAACCACAGCTGCATGCCTTCCAAGCAGAGGCAAAGCCTTGTTAAAATGTGTCCCTCTGAAGTTTTGAAATTACCCAGTCTCTGTTCTTCAAGTTGGAGGCTGGCCAAACTATTGCGATCAGGGTGCAGATACACTGGAAAGCAATCTGGCAGTTTTGTAATGGGTAATACTAGTAGCTTCTGAAAGTACAGCCTGAGTCATAAGCTTATCTATAGCTAGTTCATTTGAGGCAATAAGAACAACTAGGAGAAATGGAGAACTACAGGACTAAAACAAGGAAAAGGGGAAAAGACAATAGGAGGATATGTTTTCAAATTGGCAACCAATGCTGGCAATCTAGGAAATTTTGATAAAAGCCTTCATAAACCCCAAAACTGCCTAACTGTTCCTCAAGATGACAATGGGAAGCATATGTCTCTTGGTTGTAAAGAGCAGTCTAATGAAATTTTCCTCTCCTTATTTCATACGAAGCTATGAGAGCTGAGCATGTTCCCCAAATATTTGTTGCCCCTGTCCAGAGAAACCCCACAGAAGGAATGAGAAGCAAGTTCCTGTTGTGTTCCATTAGCACCAAGCCCAGGCGTTTGCTATAGTGGCTAGGATGTGAAGTAGGATTGGAGGGTGCTGGAATACACAAGGAAAGTTGATAGAGAAAATAGATACCCAGGAATTTTTCCCTGACCCAAAACCAAAACCATTATTTTTCAAGTTTCTAAAGAGAAAAGTACACAGATTTCACCATGCCACTGTCTGTGGCAGGTGTTCATAGTTAAAGGACTGAAATATAAAATGTACTCTATGCAAAATATGAAATACTCTGCAGCATTTGAAGCAAAATTTCAAATTCAACATAAATTCAGAAACACAAAAAATGCTTTAAAACTTCAGTGGTAAGTTATAAAAGAAAGTAACATAATGAGATATATGGTATGATATTAGTTATATAACCATTTTAAAATATACAATAATAAAGACCAAAGACACACGTGTTTTAAGGACATACATCAAACCTATAATGAGGACACAAAAGAAGAAAATAGACTAACCAGGATCTCTTGTGAACTGATAATAGGTTTTGCTGTATACTATAGAGTATACTATGGAATATAGTTCAGTTTAGCTCTTTGTGTCTTAGGGCTGTAAGAAAGAATATATGTAGATGTAATTATATGACTACACATGATTATACAATATGAACTACATATCTATACCTGTGACCAAACTCACAGGTAGACATCAGCAAGTAATCATGTTTCTTTTTATATTTCTTCCTAGGTATAGCTTCCTACAACTGTCCCAATACCATTTAGGAGAAAAATTGCATTGCTTTATAACTCATATAAAACAGGAATTGGCAAAGTTACTGAGCTTTTAAGAAATAAAATTGTAAAATATTGGGGCTAGAGAGATGGCTCAGTGTTTAACAGCACTAAGCTGCTCTTCCAGAAGATATGGATTCTATCCACAGCACCCACATGTCAGCTCACAACTGTCTGTAACTACAGTTCCAGGGGATCTCTCTCTCTCTCACACACACACACACACGCAAAACACCAAATGCATATAAAAATTGTAAAATATTATAGAAATTAGATAGCAGTAAGGCTTCCAGCCAAGAATGGAAGAAAGAATGAGAATTAATGGTGGAGAACATACTAGCATGCTGTTAAAGACTAGGGGTCATATGCTTAACAAGGACAAAGCAAGGGTTCAATTTCTACTGCTACAAATAAGACAACACCCTCCAATCCATCTCTGTATACTGAAAGAAAAGTCATCATTCTTACAGCAAGGTAGCTATCCCACTCTTTTTAACACTGCTTAGAATGCCTATCCCAAAGGGAATTAGAAATCATAAAAATAGCAAGAGAAATATCTTTTTTGTTTTTGTTTTGTTTTTGTTTTGAGACAAGGTTTCTCTGTGTAGCCTTGGCTGTCCTGAACTCACTTGGTAGATCAGGCTGGCTTTGAACTCACAGAGACCCACCTGCCTCTGCCTCCCTGAGGCTGGAATTACAGGCAAGTGCCACCACACTTGGCTAAGAGAACATCTTAACAGAGTAAAAGAAAAATCACATTGTGAAGATGAAGACTATAATGTCTTAAAATAAACTATATATGTACATGTAACAAACATTTGCTTCCTTTATAGCTAATTAAAACTGAAGAATGTATTTATATTTTTCTTTTTTTCTTTTTTTTTTTTTTTTTACCTTTGGCTTCTAGTATAGCCACAGTTTAACTTTGTTCCCAGAGATAAACTCTAAAAACATGGTAAGTGAAAGAAACTCAACATAAAAAGTCATGCATCATATGGATCCACTTATTTAAAACAGCCAGGATATGTCACAGCAAGTCTACAGAGGTTCAAAGTAGATTAGTAGCTCCACAGGGTTAAAGAGAAGGAAGTTTGAGGTGTGGGACAAGAGAGAGTGACTTACTAATGACCAGAAGTTTTCTTTGTGAGTCTTAAATATGCATTAAAATTAGAAAGTGGTAAGGATTTAAAACTTTTATGAATATACTAGAACTCACTAACTTTCATATTTTAAAAGGATGATGTTATGGTATGGGAATAATTTCACCATTTGTTTAAACATCTATCTATCTATCTATCTATCTATCTATCTCTCTATCTATCTATCTATCTATATCTGCAAAAATATAGTACCTAAACATGTAAAAATAAACAAACAAGCCCATAATGTAGGAAGAAGAATGTACCCTGAGAATTCTGACATGAATCACAAGCTACCTTTGACTTGACAATCATTATCTTGGCCTTAACATTCTTCATTAATATTTAAAGGCATGGATTTGGAATAAACTATAAGTTCCTCCTGAAAATAATATATAAAAGTATATTAGCATTTTATTTATTTATTTTTAGATGTATTTATTTATGTATATGAATGCTCTATCTGCACGTACAACCTACATGCCAGAAGAGGGCATCAGATCACATTATAGATGGTTGTGAGCCACCATGTGGTTGCTGGGAATTGAACTCAGGACCTCTGGAAGAGCAGAGAGTGCTCTTAACTGCTGAACCATCTCTCCAGCCCCCATGTCAGTATTTTATAATATGAATGCATACTTCTTTGGCTCTTAACATTCAGAGTTTTGACTGTCTTTGGTTATAACCGGTTGAATCCCATGAGTTACAATAATAACTGGTCTAAAAATACATGGTATAATAGTGGCAGGAATATCAGAGGAGTAGCCAACCATTATCTGAAGGCTTCACTACTTGGCACCATTATCATGCCAAGTGCCTATGATTAGACAAGTTATAAGTTCCAGGGAAGATGTTATTAAGCTGCTAAATAAACACAGAATTAAACTGCTTCAAAATGATATCATAATACCTATGGTCCAATACAGCTCTCAACTCTTATCTAAGAAGCTTCTACCTGTACTAGAAGGTGATTAACACAATGACCCACAACTGACCAAGATGCAGAGAGTAAGAGAATGTAGAAAGCTCATCCCTAAAATGAACATGTACACCATATCACCCCTTCCCCAAGGCTCAGGGATCATTGTGGAAGTGTGGGGAAGAAAGAATGTAAGGGACAGAGGTGGTGGATGAATATAGAAAAACAGTGTCTTTTAGACAGCTGAACGCATGAACTCACAGTGGTTACAGTACACTGAACAGAACCTGTGTAAGCCCAAGTCAGACAAAAATCTCAGCAAGGAAATAGAAGGTATGCACAAAATTCTACCCCTAGTTGTGGAGCTATTAGCAATTGGTAGCTTCTAGGAAAGGGAAAGATGGCTTTTTTCTATGAACGTAGCTCTTGGTTATTTTGACAATGTTCCAGTGGAAGAACACATGTCCAAGAATATTTGAGCAGCACATAATGGTTTTGTTGGGTTAAAAAAAAAAAAAAAAAAGAGCCTGAGTCAGGTGGTGGGAAAGGTCAGTGGACTTGAGAGGAGTTGTGGAGAGGTGAATATGACTAAAACACATTGTACAAAACTTTCAAAGAACCAAGTTTTTGAAAAGCATGTTTGTTTCCAGATGTTACAATTAACTAGGCAAATACAGGATAAATGCAAATAAAAGCTAAATACACCTTTGAAATGATCGTCTCAGAAACAAAGATCTGAATTGGTGGGGAATCATTAAAATTATATAATAAACTATAAAAGTAGGAAAAATCACCTAGGGAGAATGTTTTTTAAAAATAGAGTTAAAGATTTACTTTTTAAAATATTGAGGCATTGTCAAATGCTTTAATTTATTGCTTCAACAAACATTTATTAATTACCTGCCAAATGCTAAGCGAATGTCTAGGGGCAGGTGTACCACAATCAGTTTACATTGTAGTCACTGGAGGAGACTAACAACAAGCAAACAAACAAG